GGCCATACGTGCTTGGCAAACGTAGGGGGCGAGTTGGTCAGGAGGCGAGTCAGTCAGGGGGCGAGTCGGTAAGGGGGCGAGTTGGCTAGGGGGCAAGTTGGTAAGGGGCGAGTCGGCTAGGGGGCGAGTCGGTCAGGAGGCGAGTTGGTAATGGGCGAGCTGGTAAGGGGCGAGTCGACCAGGGGGCGAGTTGACCTACAATCGCTCCAACTATAGCATAAGTCCCAACTGTAGTGTTGCAGTTGGGCTGGCCCAACTACTGTTGACCAATTTCTGTGGGAAATGTCTCGACATTATCCAAGTCAATGTGTCTCATTGTCTCGGTATGACCGATGACATGACAAATTGTAAACGATATGACTTTGGCACATGCTTTGCATGTTACACCCCAACTATAGCATCAGTCCCAACTATAGTTGGGTTGTCCCAACTAGAGTGCCACAGTTGGGCCGGCCTAACTACAGCAGTGCCTGTGTGCATTATATGCCCAACATGTGCCGAGGTCATATCGTTTACAAATACTATGTCATTGGTCATAGGGCTAAATCATAAATGAACAGATGGAGTGCCACATTTTACCGGTAGATGAATTTTGTCAAGTTTGAGACACATTGACTTGGATAAGGTTGAGAAATTTCCCACAGACCAGCCCAACTGCAGCACTGCAGTTAGGACTGTCCCAACTATAGTTGGTACTTGTGCTATAGTTGGGGCGTAACAGGTACATCATGCACACAGGACCTCTCTGCTGTAATTGGGCCGACCCAACTGTAGCACTCTAGTTGGGACAGGCCCAACTATAGTTGGGACTGATGCTATACTATAGTTGGGGCGTAACAGCGCTATCTTTGAATTGAAAGTGCGCATAACTGTAACTTGTAAGTTTTGATCTAAATTATGACCCTGTGCTGAGCTTTCACGTGGAGGTGTTCAGCGCAATCTTTGAAAGTTTGGCAAATTTAAAATTTGCACAGTTTAACATGTTCAATATTTTCAAAGATTGATCTGAACATCTCCATGTGAAATTCAGCTTGCGCATATTTTAAACCTGCACAGATAACGTTGAGCGCAGTCTTTGAACATGCACAATTTTTGTGCCTCGAAATGTGCAAGTTTTAAAGGGAGTATGAGTCATGATGGTTGGCGTTTGACTGGGCCTGGCCACGGTGGCGGCGCGTGGATTCTCATTCCCTTAGGGCATGTAAGGTGCATTCCACCAAATTGCAGGTTTTTACAGTAAGACATACATGTACCATAATCAGGATGGATCATAGAGATACTTCTATAAATCATGAAATTGGGACTGGTAGTTTCGAGTTTGTTCTATTTCTTTCACAAAAAGCCCCACCTGAGGCTGTGGGCCTATTTGGACAGAGGCGGGCGGCTATAATCAGAGCTGAGCGCATAGCTTTATGACTGTTTTGGGTGTGTCTTCAGGTAAAGGCGAATAAAAAAAATCGCCTCGCTAACCCCGATAAAATTGAAACGAAAAGTGAACTTCTGGCTACAGTCGTGAATTTCCACTGAAAAACCGGAGGCCAACCACTTCCCGAGAGTCAGCAGGTGATGCTATTTCGGCCTGATTTTGCACTGTTTTCTATGGGCGTGTATTTGGTGCAACGCAATCTCCAGCTATCTGGCACCAGTCAAGGAGGCCTACTTTTGTTTGAAGTCTTTGACTTTGCTTCCCTTGTTTGAAACAATCTTTTGTAGCCAGGAAATGGAAAGAAACAGCGTAATTCATTAGGCCTATTATTAACAAGATGGACAGATCACGCAAAGATTGTGCAGTCGTGCATGTTAAGCAGTGTTGTAGTCAAGACCTCTTCACACCGTCACAAGACCCTGCAAGACCATCACAAGGCCAACACAAGACCTTCAATCTGAATTCAAGTCACAAAGCCCCTCAAGTGACATACCACAAAAACATTATCTTGTCATTGTTCACCCTGTTGTTTGTGATGGGTCTTATGAATGGTCTTGTGCGTGGTCTAGTGTCTCGTCTTGTGATGGTCTCGACTACAACACTGATGTTAAATACAATCTTGAACCTTGCACAAATTTATTGGACTCCATCCTGAGTTGATTTGCCTTTGAATAACATCCATTCATAGGATAATCAACTCAGAAGGAGAACAAGAAATTTGGACAAGTTTCAAGAATCAAGATCGCACTTAACATGTTAACATATCAACCCAACACACCCAATGTTCTCACTACTGAAACATTAGTCCATATACAGTAGTGCATCATGCAACTACTGTAGCTCAGTGATAGTGCACACCATTACATACTGTACGTATGTGCTTATGTACATGTGTGTTCATTATGTTTCCATTACTTCCAGCTTTTAAAACAGTACTGCTGTGCAAGTAAGCCTGCAATTACTGTACATGTCGATTTCTGTTTGAATTCTGTTTTTTTTTTCTTTTTTTTTACTTTTCTGTCCAATTAGATTTATTTCTACTACAAGGTGACAAAGTGTAACGATGAGCGGACGGTTTTGGATGACAATCGCCTTCAGAAGAAACCATTTGAGCTGATCACTGGCAAGCAGTTCAAGCTCGATGTGTGGGAGAAGTGCCTGAAGACCATGCGGGATGGGGAAGTCGCTGAGTTTACCGTGGCTCCCTCAGTAAGTCCATGGGTGGATCCAGGGGGCATGCAAGCAGGAAAAGTTGCCCTCTAACCCACCTGCACATTTCTACCCTTTAATCTACCAACACATTTGTGCCCCCACAGGAAAAACTTAAGAATTATTCCCTGCCTTAACCCTCTTTTGAATGAAATTGACCAATAGAACAGCCACAGTAACATTCAAAACTTACCAGTAACAATTTAGCACTCAGTTGTTAGTGCATTCATAGTAGGGCAAATTCAAGCAGTGACTCTACATGCAGTTCTGAGGGGCCAATTTCATAGAGCTGCTTAAGAACAAAATTTGCTTAAGCACTAGAAAACCTTGCTTGATAAATCTGGTAACCAGCCCAAACTCTATGTGATGTATATTATTTTGTGATTGTATTTAGCTGTTTTTTGGTTAGCATGATAATCAGATAGAGTTTTAGCTGGTAACCTTTGTTTACCGAGCAAAGTTTTTTCATGCTTAAGCAAATTTTGTGCTTAAGCAGCTCTATGAAATTAGCCCCAGCTGGGGCAGATACTTGTCATGCCCTTCTTATCCAATGCACACTTGCACTAGGTGAACCATTTTGCAAAATCCCATCATATGTCACAGTATGGTGTTGGTTGCAGCTCTCCCCTGTGTGTGCAGTCTCTGTCATATTGCACAGCTATTTTGAGGCTGAAGGTTTACTTTTGATTAAAAAAAGGGGGCTATTGAGAACTAGCTACATTTATGCCCTGGACTCTGGTTCCAGATGTGGTGCAACCGTCCATCATTCAAGTGACAGTGGTCAGACTGTAGTTCATTCTAGTCACTGCTTAAAACTGCTCATGTGCATTTCGTTTTGGCCGAGACTAGATTTGATTGTGTTACCATGACACCTGCACAGACACTTTTTAGGTAGTGCAGTTTAGCCACACCAGCAATACAGGGTGCTATCAAAGGGCTCTATAAAATGCAATCTTGGTACATCTGGCTGGCCTGTGGGGTACTCATACCTCACATGCATAAATTTGCATGAATAGTAGCATTTGCTGTGCACACAAACACAACCTCTACTGTAAATCATTAGGACTTCGCACGTTTTGAAATATAGACATCACGGTGATCAAAAACACTATGGGGGCAAAATCTTGTCCCTAGAATATTGTCCCCACTTTAAAAACAAAAGAAACTGACCCTTTAACACAGTTGCGAAAAATTGTGACTCGAGTCATTACAACTCTGAGTTGTGCTTGCCGTTATCAGCGGCCAGCTGCATGTTAGACAAACATAATGGAAATCCAGTGTGAGACCATGAGTACCGTACCACTTTCTTCCTTCTTATTCTTTCCTCAGTAAAAGTGCTTGTGGAGTTTGCATACATGTACATGTATATGACATGTGATAAGTATCTGTACATGTAGGCCTACATTTTTATTTTGGTTGGCTATTTGTTATGCTGTTTTTTTATTTCAAATTGAAAAAAAAGGAGTCCAACATTTCAGTCTTTCCTAAAGGCAAAATGTTTGATCAAAACATTGCGCCTCTGACTTAGTATATTTTAGGTTACTTTACTACATGTAACAAACTATTGGCAGCAGTTTTTTTATTTTACATTTCTGTGTTTATTTCAAATTCATATTTGGAATACTCCTTGACAGGAACTCACAACCTTTGCTCCAGTGATGAAGAAGCTCCGCGACATTGCCAAAGGCACGGTGGCCACCCCGGAGGGGGGCCACTGCTGTGGCATGGCCCAGATGAACCAGTCGGGCCTGGGGTATCCAGACCTGGACGAGTTCCTCAAGCAGCCCGAGCCCCTCCGTTTCACCTTTGAGGTGGTCCGCATCGAGGAGGAGGGCCAGTATCGGAAGGAGTCGTGGGCCATGAGCCACGCCGAGAAGAGAGCGGCGCTGCCCCTCCTGCGAGAGGAGGGCAACCGATTGTACAATGCCAAGCAGTATGCAGCGGCAGCCCAGAAGTATGCCGAGGCCTTGGGCTGCCTGGAGAACCTGCTGCTGCATGAGCAGCCCAACAGCCCAGAGTGGCTGGCCACCGATGACATGCGCATCCCATTCCTGCTGAACTTTGCCCAGTGCAAGCTGATGCTGCAAGATTACTACCAGGTGATCGAGCACACGACCACAGTGTTGACAAAAGAGGAGAGTGAGTGCCATTAAGAAAACATAAGAGACAATCGTGTCATTGTCAATTTAAATTCCTTCAGTTAGGATAGTTGTGAATGGCTAATGACGTGTTTCGTTGATCTTAATCTTCAGCTTCATATTAGAAAGCCTCACACAGATCCCTTCTTCCCAATTTCATGTACATACTTTCAGGACTAGCTATCCTAGACCATTTTGGAAAGGTTTGGAAAGACCCTGCGGGATTGAGGATTATTGTGGACGAATCACAGTTGAGAATTAAGTACATGGCTGATGGAGTCACAAGTGATTGCCCCTTTGGGTTTTGCTTTTTAAGCAGGTTTTGGTGACATTATTCCGCAGCTACAAAATGAAATTTATTGATGGCTTGATGTGGAACAAGTTTCCCATTAACTGTTGAAGAGTCGTGTGGGGTGGGAGGGTGCCAGAATCCCTTCAACTTTGTCAACTATTATCATAGTACCTTTTTTTATGCACTGATGCTTCAGGAGTGTGCTGTCCTCCCACAGTGTCCATATTTATGAGACACGTCAACCAAAATGTTGCTCAGTTCCTGTGGGATGGCCTGTGTGGCTTTTAACTTTGTAGATCATAACATCCAAATCATACGTTTGATTAAATTGAATTGAAACTTCACATTTATACTTCTAATGAGTGTCTTACATGCGCGTCAATTTTGTTCTTAACAAAAGGCATGGGAAAGTGGAGGTCTTAGGGGGAGCAGAAAATGAACTTTCTAACGATGCTCTTGGATTAAAGAATATGTGAGATGCTGTTTATGATCCTGCTGAAACTTTCTTTCTTACCCTACAGCCAATGTGAAGGCCTTGTACAGGAGAGCAAAGGCCTACGCTGCCTGCTGGGACTTCAGCCAGTCCCGCAAGGACTTCAAGATGGCCCTGGAGTTGGACCCCTCACTGGGTGCGGCCATCCGCAAGGAATTCCGCTTGCTGGAGGAGGCGGAGAAGAAGAAGGACGAGGAGGATAAAGTCAAGATGAAGGCAGTCTTTGAGAGGTTCAGTGAATGAGGGGCTTTGTGAGTTCTGTTTACACAGCATGTTTTGTGTAATTGTGTAGCAAGTCTTCATTGAGAAGCGATCTGTTCAATCTTGCGGCCTGGTCAGTTTTAGACAACCAGGGGGCTCTGTACTCTGTGCGTCCTCGGCAGCATGAGAGGCATTTCAATACCAGTGCCCAATTTCTCTCACAAGGAAGTAATGTGGTAATGTGTTCACTCATTTGAAAATGGATACACTATCTACAGTTACGTGCAAAGTCCTTGATATAAGATGTGCTATTTATCCCATCTGAGTAACGGTAGTTGGCTATATTTTTCAATAAGAATTAAGGCATTAACCGCTACCTTGTATATTTCTCCCAGAGAGGCTTTATGCAAAGTCCCTCTGTGTGGGTGAGCACTCTGCTTGCTCAAACTTAGCTGTGAATTACAAGAGGTCGGATAGTGAGAGCGACTTGGAATTGCTTTTACATCAACAGTGTTGATCAACACTGGATCGTATGATAAAGTTGGACTATTCCAATTGGAACCTGAGTAAGGTTCTGGTAAATTTCAGGCAGATGGCCGAGCTCATTTGCTGAGAATGATATCTAATTTACTTTACCAATTTTTTCTCAGTTCTTGTGCTATAAAGCCCCCTATTATGGCCGCAAAGTCAAGAAACTGTGGGGGAACGAGAGCCGTATTATGATATTGTCAAATCGTTAGATTTTTTTGTCGCCCTCATCTTTTTTTTTACCCTGAGCATTCTTGAGGTGGAACTGAACTCCCCAAATGATGATTTTTTATAAATGCGAAAAGAAGCTGCTACTTTAGTCATCATATGGGTAATATTGACTAATTCCCTGTTTAATAACCTTTTTCCATAAAAGTAATGTGATTGATCTTTACAATACCACTGTTACCATGAAATTGACCAAATTCATGGAAATAATTCTTACATTGGATACCTTAAAAAGTGTTGATTGAATTACTTAGCTGTGCAATTTCCACAAATGTCCATTATTAATGTCATCCAATTTTTTTCAGATTTTAGAGGTAGTTTACCGCTGTACATGGAGGAATGTCCTAAGGTTTTATTTTGGCAAAATCTGTTAAGAATTGGATCAGAGAGCCTTGTTATTGTCATCAGGAACCCCGCCTGGTTGTAAATTTTTCCGTCCAGTATGAAACTCAATCATCTCATATTCCTCAGCAAGTCAAGAAGCTCACGTTCAACCATTTGTTTTGTTGTTTGCAAAATGGTGTTTTATTTGTAAATAGACAACATTATATGTCAGATGTCAGTATTAAAACTTCCTAACAGAAATAGTAGCATGCTTCTTGAGATAGACTTTGTTTACATGAGTCTGAAATATGTAACAGATGTAAACTTTGATCAACCTTATTTTCTTGTTGCTCACAGATATACAGGCTACAGCTACACTTAATTACTAGAGTGCCAAGTCGTGCAGAATAAAGCCTGCTGGGAGCATCCATGTTTTAGCACAAACCTATGGCAAAAAAATCAAAATTATGTACAGTTTTTTTCTACTATACAGTACAGTTTTTTGAATGATAGTTTTGTTTTGATCGGTGCACAAATGCACTGCACTGCCAGTAGTTTGGTATAGGCTTTTGAGTGGGTCACACTTGTGATAGCAAATGTGCTTATTTGCACATTGCATGTAGAGTAGATCATTTGGAATAATGGGTTCTACAAATACACAAATAAATGAAGAATGTGCACACTCAGGATTGCTTCAGAACTTCGCTGTGTCGGGAAATGAGTAGCACTCTAGTAGTTCAATATAGCTGTATGCTCTCAACTGAGTTATGCGCAAAGAAGAAAATTTAGTTTGAAATCAAATGAAATATTATAAACAGCTCCAACGGATGGAGTTCGCTGATTTCCTGTCATTTGCTTTACATTAGTTTTAGATTGTTTCTTCGTTTGAAGGATAAGTTTCCACCGAATCCCCTTAAAATATATACAGTGTATGTGTACTGCCAACCTCTCCCCCCTTTATTTTACTCTTCCACCCATGTCCCTGATGAATCTCATGTTTTTTCCTCAAGTTTAGATTTCCACATAAATGTGCAATTTTTATGCAGTTGTTGGATTTAATTTTAATTTCACTTACCTGAAAATTTGTGAGCAGCTTACCAACTGTGCATTAGACTTTTTGCGGCCCACTGTAACATGTATCGAGTTTCAACCCTCCCTCCTACAATTGCTTCTTTTTATTGTTAACGGTTGGTGAAACTTCCCAAAGAACAAATTTTACAGCATTTGTCAATAGCCTGCGTGGGTTTCAGGCACCCCTGCTGTGCACTCTGAGAATTACACTGTCCCATAAAAGTGACACCAAAGCCTCTAATACATTTTCCCCCTGTACTTACCACTTTTACCCACATCTGATTTTCCACTTACGTATTTTCAAGAATGACTTGCCTGCAATGGCGTAGCTAGGATTTTACCAGGGGGGGGCATGGGGGCACCAGCTTTCATTGATGTGGTTTTTGGGACAAACTTTTGTTAGCCTTGTTCAATATCCATTCCTCTTGTTTTTTTTTAGGGGGGGGGCACCTGTAGGGGCACCGGGAATTGCTTGCATGTAATCTGTTAGGGAACCATGGCATTCCGGATTGTTGTTAGGTTTTCCCCAAAGTGATCAACAGTGTTACTATCATTGAAAAAAAAAGAAGAATTAAAAGAATCTAATGGTGTTTGAATCATTCCCATGGGTGCATCCGTTTTGGGAATATAATTTGAATAAAAAAATTAAATAAAACATTACTGTGATTTTAGTATTCAGTGAGAGGCCCCTTTATTTTAGTAATTTGGAGCCCTAAATCGCCCCTCAAAAAAAAAAAAATTTAGAAAGGTATCAAATGAATCCCAACTTGGTAAACTGCATATTATGATTTTTGTATCAACTTCTTATCCCATAAATAAATAAGTATTTTTTTTTTCTGGACACCCTCACAAAATGTAATGTCATGTTATCTGCTTCTCAGTTCTTGACTGCTGCTCACACTACCAAAAAAAAAGAAAAAAATGTAACTTAACTGTACAGCCTTTGAAGGCAGATAGAAATAAACTTTGTTGGAGTTGATCGGATGGATATTCGTATTCGCATGAGGTAATAAATTTGTCATTCACAGAACTAACATCTCTCGTTGAAATTTTATTTCATGAAGATTTGGAATTGTTATGAATTGAAATTTCTTTTCCTTACAAATTTTGAATTGAAAAACTAGTTGGTCATAAGTGATAACTGTTAGTTTTTTCAGTTGCAATTGAACTTAATTTCGTAACCGGGATCGGTAAACTTTCAAAAATAGGTTTGGATAATCATGGAGGTAGTCTTTTCCTACCTCCATGGGATAATTATGTGCATGTTACATTAATCAGGATGTGAGCTTGAGTAAAATACGACTACGGTGTTATTTTGATGAAATACCAGTCACTTCATCATCTTTATGTATGAACCCTGTGTCTGGTGATCTCCGAGTTGGACAACTTTTCACTGCGTTTCTAAATTTAGTAACAAGTGAACAACTTTCAGTGATTATCAAAAGCAACTTCCCGAAAATAATAGATCATAAGTTTCACTGGTATCTTGACCACGTACGCGAGCGGAAGTTATGTTTTTATGTAAATTTTGTAGAGCTGGGTGACGTCACGTAGGTAGGAACCAGTGAAACCCAGCTCGCCTGAGGAGAGTGATCTTGGCAACTGGTCCAGAAAATCGTCCTTTCATGCACTCATTGGGTTGGATTTAGCCCAGAAAATGGACAGCACTGGTGTGAAGTTCGTACCAAAGGGTAGGAGCGAAGTAATTTTCGTGACTGTCATTTCATTGTTGTTTTATATCTGTTGTTTGTGCTGTGTTTGGTATGCTGCTGTGCATGGAAGTTCCGTGCGTGCACGCCAGCTGTAATTAATTTTGTCAAGTACAAATTCCAACTGCACACATAAAATCATGAATAATATTCCCATGATTCATTGCCGTCCTTTTGTAAAGGTCGAAGGTCGTGGGTACGTTGAGACATGGCCATTTCTTTGTCATCGCTGTGTCGGCCATTTCATTCACTGCGGTGATCCTGTTGAGATCGGACAAGTGTCGAAATTGCAGCCATTTTGTGGGAGGAAAACCACCCGGTGAGAAAACGGTGTGTCACATCAAGTGATCGGAGTCAAATTGACCCCGTCTTTGTTCCCCAGTGGTCAGTCAGTGTGGCCTTTATCTGGCCACAAATTTTGCGTGTTCGACCAGGCTTTAGCGTTAGACTATCGCTGGGTTGGGCACTTGGTCAGTGCAGGATCTACTGGGAGCAAATTGTGTTGTCTTTATTTGGTGGCCAGCTTGCAAATCACTGCCAGTGCCACTTGTATTTGTAAGTTGTATCAGTGCCACCGTAGGTTAACAATCACAATGGGGCTGAGTTGCTGTGTTCCTGGTTGCAACCACAAAAATGGCAGAGAGCTCTGTAGTTTGTACAACTTCCCAAATGAGAATGATGGACCGGACTGGAAACAGTGGTATGATTTGTGGTGTGAGCGCATTGGCAAATCACAGAAGGATGGAAGTGGACATGGCTGGTTGCCTACAACTTGGAGTCGTGTGTGTAGCTGTCACTTTAAGGAGGAGGAGCGCTGGAAACCGAGAACACGTCAGCCAGGTAGGCTTTACCTACCCACACTACCCCCACCGGTTGGATTTTTTATACAAATCCAACTCAAATGAGATACTGTAAATCAAAATTTGTCATTAGTAATTTCTTTTATCTGTTATGAAGAACCCGGACCCATGCCAGAGTTTAACATATTTAAAAGTTCAAGTACTCTTAGTATTACCAAGGAACCTGGGTGTTGTATCGAGATATGAGCACTAGAATTCAATAGACCATCCCCATAAGGCTTGTAAAAGGTGATAAAAATTTTAGATAAAGTAAGTAGGGTCCAAATTACTTGAAATATTTGTTCAATCAGCATAATTGCTCCATCTTTGTGCAGTCGCTCAGTCTTAACATGGGATTTGTTGATAAGTCTGCAATTAGCCAGCCAGTCTCTTTTCCTTCTCAAGTCACGCTTGTGGAAGATACATAATTTCAAAATTAGGAAGTAATTTTGGAGATTTCATACCGGTTTGACCAATTGCACATAGTGATCAGGTGATTGTGCCGATTATGTTTGAGCTGTGAAACTCTTGAATTGTTTTTACCGTTTTCGCAGTTATTGTAAAAATTATTGGTATTTATGACGAACAAAATGTATTTCTTTTTTCTTCGTACATGTAACTTTCATTTTTATTCCTCATTTACATGCAGATTTTAAGTTTTTAAATAGTTAAGTAATATCTGTGTTTATTTTTAAAAATGTGTGAGGAATCACTAACTTTTGTGTTTGTGTTCACAACCACAGGGCTAAAATTCCGGGCACCTGTGTACTTCCCATTTATGAGTGGTGCTTCAGAGAGTCACACAAAATCTGAGCCAATGAATAAAACTCCAGTAAGTTGTAATTTCATATATAAATTTCATCAAGATATTTGTTTCAAAAATTTTGAAGAGTTGATGCCCCTTGAAAGTACATTTATGTACATTGTACTAATATGGGTAAAAAAGCTGAATGGTAGTGTAATTCAGCCCACTGGAGGAATGTGTACAAGTCACCATCTATGGTACCTGGATAATGTGATGCCACTTCTTTGGCATTTAATATGTATTTCATCAGTTTTGACTTGCTTTCTGGACGCAGCTTCTAGCCGGCCTGAGGGTTGACACTGGGATGAAGAGCAGCCTACTGGCTGGACTCAATGTGAAAATAGTTCCGTCTGACAAGGTCAGTCAAATACAACATGGCTGTGGACCAATTTGTCACATATCAAAAACCTTGCATTCCAACAGTCATCACTGTTGAAGTGCCTATTGAAAGAAAAGTATGTGTACATGTATCTCAAAATGCAGTGCACATCAGTGAACTGTATTCTGCAGTGAATACATGTAGTTTTACAAGTACACCATTATGTATATTTCCAGTAACAAGTTCCTACTGATATGTGATATTCATAAATGTACATACACCATGTACATGTACATTGTACAGGGATATGTATCTCTTTCTCTGTTTTAACTGTTAATATTGGAAAGGTGATTGGTTTGATTTCTAACATGTATGTATATGTGACCCACCATCCCAAAACCAGGCTGAAGTAGGTAACTTCATAACCTTAAAATAGTGGAACTTCCACTGTTCAGATTTTCATGGGAGTTTTACAGCTATCACTGCTTAAGAAGTTAAGAAGCTTACTGTAGATAGAATTTCGATTTAGCGTGGATCACCTTGAAGTGTTATAAAAAAGTTGAAGAAGAGGAATTGTCCAACATCACAAATACCGACTTCAGCCTGGCTTTGGAATGGTGGGTCACATATATACAGCTGTCTATTCACTCAATGATACTTGTTTGCTTTTGTGTGACTAAGGTAACCCATGGCACTAAGCATAGGCTAAGCTGAACTGTTTACATGTACTTAAAGTTTATCATTTTAGAAATAGTTCTGTACATGTACATATTGTCTTCATTTTCTTATTTCCCAGTCATCTGAAACATTGACTAAGGATTCCAAAGCAGAGAGCACAGCACTAAGCACTTCAGTAGGTAATGGTCAAGTGACTGATGTGGACATGATGAGGGATGCAAGAAAGGATGGCACCAAAAGGGAGAGTCGTGACTCTGGCGAAACAAGTGCGAAAAAGAGCAAGATGGAAGACGGTGACGATGACGTTGAGATGATTGAAGATGAGGATGAGGACAGCAAATACAAGAGGAGCTCTGCCCAGAGCACAGCCAAGACCAAAAATGAGGAGAATGATGTCCAGATGATTGAGGAGGACCGAAACTCAGTTAAACAAAAAACCCCAAATAAGGAGAGAGGAAGTAGGCCGTCCGGCGAACGGCTCCTCAAAGCTTTGACACAACGTCAGTAGCCCCTTACTGAAGATAGGGCAGTGGATAGACTGTCCTTTCTTTTCCAACTTCCATATTGTTTTGTCCTTGTTCGTGTGGCATTTTATCCCATGATGTTGAAATTGTGACTGAAATAAATATGAAATATGTCACTTACTGCAAGAAACTGGGGCAGGATTAGGTTCAGCGGAGGGCTATCCCCCCCCCTTTTCTGCATCCCATTCAGTCTTGAGTTGTTTCTGGTTTGGCATTTGTAATGTGTCGGGGTTTTTGTCTGTTTTCTTCAAATGTAAGAATGTTTGTGCTCTGTGTGAGCATAGAGATTATCATGAATACCCTTTCCATCTGTTGGAGAGATTTGGTTGGAATTTGTACTTGAACATGTCCAGTGATATTTGTTTAATGACAGAATAATACGTATGTTTTTCATGTCATTTTAAGTGTAATAACTACTTTATGTGTTTTTTGTATCATTTTTTTTTTGGTGACTCTCCACACTTCATTTCATTTTGAAATTTGCACGTCCTTTATAGGTTATTCTCAAGAGCTTAATGTATGTACTAGAAAAAAATTGTGACCAAATAATATGTCAGATCCCATGATGTGGGGAGCACTGTCACTCTTAGTTTGAATTTTGGAAGGTCTATAATGAAAAAAATAGCTCTGGTGACACACCTGGCTCATTTTTTTTTTATGGTGGGCACATATTCTTGTTTCTTAGGTCACACCAAATGTTCGCAATGCCTGTATCTACGGTTTACTCATTCACGTCAAAACACTTTCTATTTCAGCCAACTCACCAGCCCTGCAGATCATCCACTCGTCCTCTGCCAGCAACAGTCCAGTGCCCATGAACATGAGCAGTGGCCAGTCCTCTGGCAGTAACGCCAGTGCCTACAGCTCTCTTGTCCAGATGAATGCCAAATCCCAGATACCAGGTAACACGGGTAATGGCGCATTTTGCTTGTTTTCTTCCCCATGTTGCTTTCCAACAGCCGTGGCAGTTTTAGTGATTGTGATTAGTAAAACCATGGGCCATGTTGGATTGTCTTGAGGAACTGACTTGTAATTTGCAAGATCCTAATTTACTTTGAAAATTGTTCCTTATCTTAAATCTGTGTATCCTGTCTCCTTTTCAATCCAAACTCTTTTTTTTTCTGAAGGAATCTACCTGTATCTGCCCAAGTAACAAATTTAAGTTCCTGACTGTTCAGGCCCCTAAAAAGTTCTGCTTCCGATTACATACCTCTGAAAAATAAGGTCGGTAGGTTGAAAAATATTTGGGGGGGGCGCAATTTTTTTGTGCTGATTGAATGTGGATGAAAGCTACCAAACATTGCCATTGGAAAAGCTTGCCTTAATCAATGTAAAAAGTGTAAGCATGCGTGATGCATCAAGAGGGGCTGGCGCTAAACCTCGTGCTGCGGCACGGCACTTCAGGAACCAAGGCAGCATTGCTTCAATGCATTGAGCATAATTATGCAGGTGCTTTCACCATCGAGAGAGTGAATCGCAAAGGGAACTTGTGAAAATAACAGAAGTTTCTTTTCAAAACGTGAATGAAAGTAGGCAACATATAAGTACATGTGTGTGCGTTTTGATGTGAAGAAAGTCGAGAGGTGTTTTGTGAAGACAGGAAAGAGCAGGATTTTTTGAAAAATTTGTTATTTTAACTTGCCGATAAACATTTTGAGGTCGTGCTGAAACATTAGGGTCGATTGGGAAACGGGAAGCGGAACTTTTTTTTCTTTTGGCCTTAGTACATTGATTCTACTTTGAAGCAAATTTAGCCATTGAAGTTCCAACTTCAAGTGGCAGACATGAAACTGAAATTAACAGTCTTCAGTAGAGCCTAGTATGCACCGGTACTTACGCGTCTTTCCTTGTCTAAATGAGGATATAAAAGCTGCACATTCTTCTTTTGTGCTTCTCTTGAACTTTTCCAGTGCTGCCAATGTCCAACCGCACAGTCGCACCCCAAAGCAAGTACGCTGAACTCCTGGCAGTCATCGAAGACATGGGTCGGGATATCAGGCCCACATACTCTGGCAGTAGAACAGCCACTGAACGACTGAAGAGGGGTAAGGGCACTCCTAAATTGATAACCTGCTGGACCCTATGTCATAGAGCCAGTAAGCGGAATGTACGGCTTAGCAAATTGAATTTTCATGTGCTGAGTGCAATATCAGCTGGGAACTAGTCAATCGAAAACATAATGCGTGGCTTTTGGGCAGGTAACCTTATTTCGCTTATCATTATTTTCTGTGCTTAGCAGAAATTAGGCTCGTTTTTTTTTTAATGAAAATTAAACTTGTACAGGGTCTCTGCTGAGACAGTAGGTGGCACTTTCTGGGCACACACAAGACCTGAAATTACATTTCATTTGAATGTGCACAAATTGTAGCATGGCTATAATGCATTTGTGTCAGTGGACATGAAGGGGGAAATCCCAATTTGAATTACTCCATTTCTCAAAAATGTCACTTTCTCATGCCTTCTTGCAGGTATTGTTCACGCCAGAGCCCTGGTTAGGGAGTGTTTAGCTGAAACGGAGCGCAGTGCCCGGTCATGATAGCAGCCCACATTGTCTCCCCTGAACTGTAATATAATGTTGAGTTTTTAATGCCTAACTGAACCCAGATCTGTCGGCCCATTCAACGTTCACAAAAAGAGTGGGACATAATCATCACTGAACCATGGCCCTTCGAAACCTGCTGGGTCGCCTGGGATGGTTAAATACATGTACATCTGAAGGGTATACAGTAAGGCTTAGTATACGGTTATAAGTGCTGCAACAGGTCGCTTTGATGACTGATGGAGTTTAACCACTTCGCGCCGCTGGCAGTTATCACTGTGGATGATGCTGTGATGGGAGAATTTTTTTTTTTTTCAAAATTCTTTAAAAATTCATATCTTCATTTAGTGGACACTTACACCCACATGAAGGACTGTCTGGTTTCTACTCTAATCTGACAGACAACATCTATTGATAGAGTATTTCAGCCAGGCCTGCTGCCTTGTAAAAAAAGCCCAGATTTTGCGGTGTTACGCAAGTTTCTTTTATTCACGAAACTGGCACAGGGCGCTGCTGACCTCTTTTCAATAGGGGCCAGATTAGCATGCAGCAGTACTGTGTGGCTCATCGCTGTGGTGATGGAGCGCTTTTGTCCCCAGTGGCAATCCGTTCGTGCTAAATTCCCAAAACCGTGGTATACTGTTTCAAAACAAGGCTGGATTATCTCCACTATTGAGAGTGAAAAAATGTCGGTAATGCCCAGCAGTCCGGTCTTTTGTTACAAGGCCCAATTCCCTTTGTCCGATTTTAGAGACCCGGGCCACGCGTATGAAGAATGAGTGTCCGGTACCAGAAGCAGCGGCGGCAAGTGGTTAATACAAAAGGGAATAATATAATATAAAACACAAGGAGTGTTCATGCTGTAGTCATTTAGGAAATCAGCCTTTCTCAGTCCCAGTTTCAGTACTTTTGGCTAATTCTTCATTCTTGCAACATATGTAGCCCTGCTGATGGTGCATCTCAGATTATAAATACAGTATCTGACTGGAAAAATGTGAAGGATATCTGTAAATTGTTCTACAGGTGCACCTTAAAAATCCTGGCAAGGGCGACTCCTTGGAATACATGTACATTGTAGTTTCTCAGAATTGGCGGCAATGTCTCATCCAACAACCTGTCTGTAGGGAAGGGAAAACTTATTTGGACAGGCAGTTTTCGCTTGCCAGAAATTCACAACCCCCCTCCTTTATTTTACACTAAATTTTAATTTGGAGACTTAATCTTCATATTTCCTTGCAAACATTGGCTATATATTTTAGGGTATCAGTTTGAAACATTTCATTGGGAGTGGACAGGAAGTTGTTTTTCCTTTGCTGGGAAAGGACAGGCAGATATTGCAATCCCAAATAAAACTCTGACTGAAGGGCTCCTCAAACAAAATGTTCCCGGATTCTTTCTTGATGGTGTGCACATAGATTAAGACTTGCATCAAGTGCAAGCTGTGCTCATCTGTATGTAAAACTACAGTTAAATACGTAGGTTAACTTGATGTAGTTTTTACCGATGACTGTTATTAACCAATAAGTCCATGTAAAAACTCATGCTCAGTGTTGTCGTGAAACATGCTGTACATGTCCGTAGATTTAATTTATTTCTCACATGATGGCTAATAAAATATTTTGTATCACAGCAAATGTATATACATCTACATGAGAAGTTTATTGCTGGTTCAAATGATGTTTCATAAATAACTTGGCTTCATATCACAATATCAATTATAGCATAAAAGCTGTGTCTCGCAAAAGCAGCTAAAATGCCCTCTCCAAAAAGTTGGAATACAGATTTGGGATAAGTGGTAACATTTTTGAGCAAGATCCTATGAGTTTAATGACTAATGGTGAAACCATTATAGAAATGTAAAAAAATTCCATTCATTTAACTTGCACCCACAGAGAGAGAAACATCCCAGAGCAGTACATTTCAGAAAGCGCATCCAATTGCCCTCACTCCTTTGGGCTTTAACCCTAACAGTCCCAAATCCTCCAATTTCAATATGATTTTATATACACCTAGGGGGGTTGGGTTAATGGAGGGAAGTGACTAGATACTAACCCATGAAACCTGGTCTGCTATTTTTCTCAAGACTCTTAGAGGGTTCATGCTTGGACTCTGTTTCTGCATCAATTGAAAAAGGAAATCCCGAACACAATGATAAAATTGGAAAATGAATAGCACAAATGGGTCGGATTCGAACCAGGGGCTACGGATCTGTAGTTCAAATCACTACCTACTAAGCTACCGAAGCGACATAATGGATTCTCGTTTTTGAAATGTCTTAAATGGTGTATTGCATTGTCCCCTCTTCATGAATCATTGGTCACCCCAGCTACTGAAAAAAAGTAGCGCACTAGGTTTCACGGGCTAGTATTAAGTCGCTTCCTTAATGGAGAGGTTACACTTCACATTTGTAAATGGTTCCTTGCCATGTCAAAGGAACAGTCACCAAGTACCAGTGGCAAGAGGTCCAAGTTCCTCCTCTACACTTCCTTGTCCTCCATGAGCATTTCTTTCATCTTTTTGAGTTTCTCCAGCTTCACTTTGGTCCGGCGAGTCTTCTCGCTGACTTTCTTCCGGTGGGCAGCCTTCTGCTGGAGAACAGCACTGTCCTCCCCGTGGTAGTGGATGTCTAGTCGCTCCTTCATAAGCTCCCTGGCTATCTTTTGGTTCTCGGGCAGCGAACGTGTCTGATGGCACTAAAGCAGAAAACGACAGTAAACACCGATCATGCTCAGGCACTGTCTGAATTACTTGACTGAGGCCTGAAGTTATGCACAGGTCTATGGTTGTGGCTGCAGCTGCTTCACAGAGCTGTGTGTTATTTCAAGCCACAGCCAAGTGATTTAGACACACGGCCTCATTGTATGTAAAGAAATCATTCAACAACTCTGAACTCAAAGAGCAAAGCCCAAACCAGTTATTTCTGGCCATTGCACAATGTATATTCACTCCATATCACCAACAGAACCCAACGTAACAACAGCCTTTCAGATTTCATCTCAAACTGCATGAAGTGACCTCTCCCAAACTTTCTAAATGTAGTAACCCTTTCAATGACCATGACCTGACTGAACTGGCCAGCTGCTTAAAATGTTGATTAAAATGCTAGCACTTCTACTTCTTTTCGGCCCTCCTGAATAAACATGATTTTGTCAAAAATAAAGGCCTTAAGTATGTACAGGTAAAATTACTTTATACAGTACATCCAATTTCATTTACACGATTGTCAAACTGTGTAGACTGCACAATGCAAATCTCAAAGAATTGTCAAATTTATAACAAGTGATCATTCAACTGACTACTTCAGCAGAAGTGCATGTACAGGTGTATGTGTTACCAGACTTGGAGTGTGTAAGCATATTGACAAGAATGCACCTTGACAGTTATACCACTAGGAGAGTGTTTAAGAACAACGCAGTTGCTGGTCTTGTTTGTTGCCTGTCCCCCTGGTCCCGATCCTCGAACAAACATCTCTTCTAGCTCGGTCTCGTCGAGCTCAGGAAGCTTTTTCCGAAGCTTAGTCCTAGTCTTGTCTCTTGTAGTGGTTGTGGAGGCGGCCACAGAGTTCAACATTGTTGGCCAAGGGGCTTGCAATAAACATCTGCTTGAGGTCATGGTTGATTGGCCAGCAAGTCTTAATTGTGGAAACCACCCAGACCGGTTTGCTGTGCAGGCTGAATAGAACCCTCCAAAGTTTCCCATCCTGGTAGTCGTTGAAAGCCGAACATGCTGCACTGTCTTCTTGCAAGTTGTTCCAAAACTGATGTTTGATGTCAAGGCTAGCCTTGTGCATTTACTGGAAGGTGCTTGAGCATAAGTCAGCTGAGAGTTAAGCAAAACCAGTGACCTACAGTTAGCAAGCCAAACAATCCTCTGGGCCATGTTGACATAGTTAAAGAAGTAACTGATGACACTCCAGGTCTGCAGAACAGCAAAGTGACGTACATGTAGTGGACAATGACTAAATAAGAGCCTTGGTTGACTTGGAGCAGGGGCCAACATACATGTAAACCTGTAAGAGAATGCCAAAAGAGGGGGGATTTGGAAATAGTTTGGATGAGTTCATTAAATCCTGTGTTCCCCAAGGATATTAACTTTGACTCCACTTTGCCTTAAGTTGTGGTTATTTTGGAATGTTTAGTGAATCTTGTCAGCTGTACAGACATGACAGACTTGATATGAATAAAGCTGGTTAAAGTCTGTTAATTCACCTGTTTGATTGTCTGCACACTCACTGACTGGAAATCTAGTATGTCTGGGTAGGCCTAGCACAGCAATAAACAGGATAGACGAAATGACAAACTATGATCACTGACTCGTACGTAGCGAAGTGGACGAGGGCCTGAAAACAAAATCAACATCATATCGGGAACCCCTACTTCGAGAACTTAACTCAAAGTCACTACTCCGCCATACGGAGTATGACGGAGTACTTTGAGCATGTTCTCGAAGTAGGGAACCCCCTTCCACTCTCTTCCGATAATTTCTATTTCTTTTCTAGCGTTTCTCATCTTACGTCCTTTCTGCATGCCATCTTTTCCTACCTCCATGCCCCAGTGCCTGTCCACAGACCCGTCTACGTCTATGGTCTTCTGTCGAGGTTCAGGGGCCGATGAACACACACACACAGCTGCTGTGCAGCGCAGTTTCAGTACGTACACGTATGGTCACAACCAAGGATCTTATAGCGCCACGTTAAGGTCTTTGGTCACAACCGGAATAAGGGACACTTATGATAATATATGCCATTTGGCTCCCTAGGTCATATGGCGTCACCATGAAACATGAATTATGCAGTACTGCTGTTGTAATGCGCATTACGCGCGAGGTACAGTACATGTACATGTACAGTAATGATCAGGGCACTTTTAATCGAGTTTCATTGCCGGAAACAGGCTATCAAAAATAATACGAGAAGCTTGAAAGTGTACAAATGCCATGAACAAGGCTAATGACCTTTGCCCAAAACGCGATCGTTTGTGGCCCTTTACATTTGTATTCATCTATTTCTAAAAAAAATACTGAAGTGCAATCGGAGCACATAACCTATAATTTTGACCCTAAATGCCTAATCTTGGCGGAATAATTGCCTCACCGACTCCCTAATAAAAAAGTATGCAGACCATGGTATTATTTATTTATAATATGTTCATTTCTGAGTGAGTCACATTTACCATATGCTAGAAATATGCCTGAGTTGGGTCAAAGCGCAATTGCAAGGTTGAAGAATTTGAGGGGGAAAACCCCGCCCAGCAGCTTTTTCAGGTAAGAAAGCCCCACGTTAACTGGCTTTGGCATACATGTACTTTATAACTTGCAAAATAATACAGGTGGTAGCAAGTCAATTTTTTTTGCAAGTCTAAGCAAAGTCACATGTCATTTGGTTCGCAGTCACAAGTCATGCGATCACAAGTCAAGACAAGTTACAAGTCAATTTGGTCAAAGCACAAGCAAGTCACAAGCCTATTTGTCCAAGTACAAGTCAAAGTCGCGCTATGTATGATTTCAAGCCACATCCAAGTGATTCACGGACGTGGCTTTAGGCAGACAAGACCGAAGTAGAAGTTGCTAGCCGAACGAAGTCTTAATTACTCGGATTATTTTAAGAACGCAAGTAGGCCTGATTTAAAACTTTAATGGGTTTGATTGAGTATAGTTTTCTGACTTGCGTTGTTAAACAATCTAAATTGTGCAGGTCCAAGTCAAGTAAAAACTGATAATTACAAGTCAAGTCACAAAAATTGCGACTCGAGTCGCTACTAAAAGTCTTTGCCTCTGTCTTTTCTTAGATGAATAAAGTAACATTCCTATTCAGGGTCTACGGTCTCCCAGTGTCCCTTCAGCCGGGTAGTCCTACAGGTATTTCCAGAGAATTAAGCTCAAGAAGAAAGAGGCTAATGATTTCTTTCCCATTTTCAACTTGCGCATTTTTTGCTTCTCTGTCATCTAATAAAAATTATGCATTAAACAGCGTCTGTCGACGGTACTGAAATATAATACAGTGTCTCAAAATCACGTAAATAAATATTGAAACGAACTTGGCAACCACCATCTAGAGGGTGGATGGGTGTTACTGCCCGGCTCATTGCCATTTCATTTATTTCTGTTTCTATAAATTACTTATTTTTTTCAATTTTTGTAAGGGGCCAAAGTCTAAAGTTTGGAAACCCGTCTCACTTAAAAATATACACCCTATAAGAGCCTCGTTTTCGGTAAAGGGCGGATAAGGACAAGACAAAGAGATTGAATGGCTTCACAAACGGCGACAAAGACACGTAGTAACAACTCCCCCCCCGCTCCCCCACGAACAAAACTTCCCGACCCAACCTCCTCCCCATTATCATGTCATCCCACGAAAAATTATGATTTTTCAATAATGTTGTTTTGTGTAGTTTACTAAAGGGAATATGATTCTTTAGTGGAGGGCGAAAAGTGGCCATCTGCTTATCTGCTGTCAGAATGGTACAAAAGCAGATTTTATATTCTGGTAACATTCAATTTCGACTTTTCTACTTTTCTGCCACCTCAAACAGCAGAACGAACATTGTTTGGTCATGCATTTTTCTATTTTTCTGATTCAAGAAAAGCAGATTTCACTTTTTCTTCGTTCGCTGGCGGCCGAAAAGCGGTCATCTGCTTTTCTCCTTTCGAACAGGCACAAATGAGGATCGGACGTTTTGACAATAACTGTGAATTCTACTTCTTTGCTTTTTTGATACAAGAGGAGCAATTTTACATAGGCGGCCGAAAAGTGGCCAGCTGCTTTTCTGCCTTCCAAGGGCCGTGAAGGAGATTGTGAACCTCAGGTTATAATCATTTCCTTTCTTAGGGACTGAAGACGTATAAACCAATAATTACACTCCACCCTATCTTTTATAATGAAAGATTCACATGTTTTCCTTGTGTGTCTATTAATTGGATGATAGTTGTAAAACTGCCTCATAGGTCCGCAGAAAGCATGCTTTCAGTATTGGTTTCTATACGTCTTCACTCCCCCAAATGGAAAATGGTCGTAAACGGAGGCCGGAAAATGGCCATCTGCTTTTTACATGTCAACAAGCAGGGAAGTGGATTGAACGTTTTGACTACAACCGTGAATTCAACCTTTCTGCTTTTGTGATACGCGGAAAGGCATATTTTACATAGGTGGCCAAAGAGTGGCCATCTCCTTTTCTGTCCTCAGTGGCAGTGAATGGGGTCATGAACCTGTAAGTTACGACCATTTCCGTTCTTGGGGAGTGAAGACGTATGTTCTGGGGGAGTGGAGACGTATAGAATTAAGCCAACTTAAAACGATGCTTTCTGCGGACCAATCCTATACGGCAGTAGGCTATCAGCGTCCCTGTAGTAGCAGAAAAGCAGAAAAGTGGAAAAATGCATTACAGTAATAAAATGGTCACTCTGCTTTTGAGGTAGCAGAAAAAGAGAGAAATCAAAAATTGCATTTTACAAAAACGTAAAATTTGCTTTTCTACTATTCTGATAGAAGAAAAGCAGATGGCTACTTTTCGTCCTCCATGCGCTCGGTGGATCAATCTTTCGAAATAACTGTACCTGGCTGAATCGTAGGGAAATTAAAAAGAGGGAGACTGTGTAGTCCTGCAGAATATACCAGGAATGATTTTATTATAAATATTCTAATTCATTCAAGAAAGGGCAGAAACCACTCAGTATAGCATGTAAGCTTACCTTTGTTAATAACGAGGACTATTGAAAACACGAATCCCAGTTCTGGCTGAAAAAATAACCTTTCTTACAATTGAAAACATAAATAAATTACTTGTACATAAATAACTCCTCAGTTATTATCAGTATTATTCCATGATCAAACACACGAGGTCGAATCAAACGAAGCGTGGGCTCGTTACGCGCCCGTGAGACAGCGTACGGTGCACGTGGTGCCATGGCCCCCTTCCGAGCCTCTTATTTTAAACGCCGTTTGGATTGGATGAGGGCGCTATGCCGTGTTATTGAGACAACCAGTGATACGGTTATTTATCTTTTTATTCGTTTGTTATTTATACTGAGGAACCCATTCAATTTATAAAAACTGTTCTCCTATACGTCCCAGTTAACAGTAGTAAGGTTATCCAGTTATAAGTTAACAAACTGAAGCAAAGGGTATATCCTTGCATGGTGCTACTGCAAACCTCTAATTACTTGCTACCTTCACCATGGAAAGCTTCAAAGCTCAAACTTTAATTGTTTGTTAAATACTGAACTTTTCCCCGAAGTTTAAGAACAATAAGGAACCATGAATATTTGTGGGCGACAAGCAAACGTTCGCATGTTCTTTTCGCTCGAGATCCGCGGGTTACAAGACTTCTGTTGTTGCAGCGCTATGTTCATGGAACGTGTGTTTCTGCTGTGATCGCCATTGTTGTTTATGAAAACGGTCACTGTCGTTGTCTCTTATCGTCTGCTCTTCAATCTTGTCAATGATTTTCAACGGAATTTGGTGTATGTCTTGAAATTCAACCAGTCGACAGTTATCCCAGCGTCACGAATCCCAGGTTTCTATAGTAAACCAGTTTGTCATAATCCTCAATTTTTCGAAGATCCCCCAAAACAAAACCAAAATAAAAAAACAACAAAGACACCACGGAAATAGTTCCTTATACACTGGTCTGAAAAAAAGTGTTTTCTCAGTACGACGATGTAGTACTTTTCCTTCTGAATTAAACTTTCTGGACATGTTTTTGCTTTCTGGTGGCTATCAAGTCACCGTAAGGAAGAATGGTATCCGCATATGGAAGTCTTCCCTTAACGGCTCTTGCAATAAAATATGCATAAGACTCGAGTGCTAGTGTAATTTATGACTATGGTATAACAAACAACTGTTTCCCGCTGTGACACGAGGTTGAGCTGCCGGCCCCGGGTAAGGAAAGAATAAGGGTACTGTATTAACTTAAAAGTATGGTATTTGGTAGAAAAAAAATCTAATTTATTCATAGTGTCAACATTTTGGAGATTTTAGTACACAAGACATATTTGTTCAGGGTGATTCTCATCAATTCGAACACCAAGGAATTTAATTGATCTGGCTGAGAACAGTACAGTCCAAACAAAGAAAATTATTTTTTTTTGTATACTTGTTTTGTCTAGAATTAAAGATTATGTAATTCATCTTGAGTAAATTAACCAACTAGGTTTATTAGACAATTAGATCCGTTCATTCACCTGTACAAGTTCTGTATTTAGTTTGCTAATGGCTGAATGGTTATGATAATAGACTCGTGTCGTCAGCAAAAGAAAGTGGGCAATGTTTCATCAGAATTACAAATGTCATTCACATAATGCTAAATTTTAGGGACCTAATGATACCTGTACATGGGAACTAATTCAAGTTTAGCCTGACACAATTTGACCCGGAGCCAATTGATGATGTAAGTATATAAAAGTAAAGTATACCTTTTTCGGTTGTGATACTGTCTCTACCGGACTACCGACACTAGTTTGCAAAGATCGTATAGNTGCCAAAGGCGCAAGATAGATAACTCTGCCCAAAAGGTGTAATTACCATGGGCACCATTTGAGCAAGCGATACGCCAGCGCAGTTCACGGTAATGCTTCGGCGCAGGCTCACTAGGTGCACGTACCTGTGCCGCTAGGCGGCGCTATACGATCTTTGCTAGTTAGAGACCGCCTTCTCGTTCTGGGGACACGCAACAACAGAGGATGATATGCATTATGCATAACTTTAACGGCTTTCGCCGCCACGAGAAGTGCAGCTTTGTCTGTCTAGTCTCTGCGTTTGAATTAAACGTAGAATGTTGCATGGCCATAATGAATTTTGCATGTGACGTCATGTCATAAACGCGTTCCTCCGGTTGTGGTATGTACTGTACTTGCCAATACCCCCCCCCCCCAATCCAGACGGATATGGATACCGACGCGCGCTCACACAGGTAGCTCAGCCTCACTCAACGCTACTCTTTTGAACAAGTTAATTTTACCAATAAATATTAAGCCTATGTTGGTAGGCCTTTGTATTGGAAGGTACAAAGTGCTCACTTGGAACTTGGGGAAAAGGGGTTCCGTCATCTAGCATGGTCACTGTCCGTATTCGACTGTAGTTTGTTCCCCCGACTGTGCCACAAGGCATAGCACTTTCTCTGAAGTGTACATGCATGGAGGTGCAATCACATGGTACATGTAGGCCTAGGCCTAGATCATGAGTGTTAATTGTGTGTGGCACGTTTCTTGTTGGCACTTCGCCAGGTTTTTTTCAGGGGGGGGGTTCTAGAGGGCATGGTTTTAAACTTAAAGCACTCATCAGCTTAGCTGGAAATATTCAGCTCTCACGACGAGGAGAGATTCAGTATCTTATATCATGAGCTAAGTTATTGCTGGATATTTTCAATTGAAGGTAGGCGTACATATCATGTAGGCTTACATCACTCAGCTACTGAACCATTTACAATGGGTGGGGAATTTTTGAGGTTTCTTCAGTATTTTTCCGAGCAAATTGGTAATTTCCAATTTTTATCCCCGTATCTTTTTTTCATTTCTTTCTCCCTCCATTTTTTTTCTTTTTAGAAATTTTTATCAATTTTTTGTTGGGGGGGACTGGACCCCTGACCCCCCCCCACAGTGTCCATGCCAGTATTGTTTGAAACTATCATTCTAAAGTGGATAGGCCCACAGGTACTATTTACAAATTCAAAATTCCGATTAGATTCCCCTCTGAATCCTTGTCATATACCAACTAACAACTAGACCTAGCCTACATGTACAGTACATGTACAAAAATGC